CCATCTGGGAAAAAAAAATCAGTCTTGCTCCCTGGCTTACACCATACACAAAAGTAAGTTTCAGATAGATTATTGAATTGTAAAAGTTAAAACTATAAAATTTCTAGAAGAAAATATAGGAAAAGCACTGACCATAAAGGGAAAAAACTGACACTAGACTACAGTAAAATCACGCATTTCTTGCATCAAAGTATCATAAGAGAATGAAAAGGCAAGTAATGAGTGGAAAAAGTTATCTGTAAAACATTTATCCAACAAAGGGTTCTTATCCAGAATGTATAAAGAACCACAAATTACTAAGACAGACAACCCAATAGACAAACAGGCAAAAAATGTCTTGACAAAGACACAAAAGCACTGACCATAAAGGGAAAAACTGACACTAGACTACAGTAAAATTAGGAATTTCTGCTCATCAAAAGATACTATTAAGAGATTGAAGTTAGTACAACCATTTTAAAAAAATAATTATGGGCCAGGCATAGTGGCTCAGCCCTGTAATCTCAGCACTTTGGGAAGCTGAGGTGGGAGGATTACTTGAGTCCATGAGTTCAAAACCAACCTGGGGAACATAGCAAGATCCAATCTCTACAAAAAATTAAAAAATTGGCTGGGCCTGTAGTCCCAGCTACTTGAGAGGCTTGGGCAAGAAGATCCCATGAGCCCAGGAGTTTGAAGTTACAGTGAGCTATGATCGAGCCACTGCATTCCAGCGTGGCTGACAGAGTGAGACCCTGTGTCTTAAAAAAAAAAAAGAGGGGCACTATGAACTAAACCTGAATATACACATACCCTATGATCTAGCAATTCACACGTAGGTCTACACTCATTAGAAATGCATACATATGTTCACCAAAGACATATAAAGAATGTTCACAGCTATATGTGTATTAGGCAAAAGCTAGAACCAGTCCATGCACAGTAGAATGAACATATAAGATGTGTTATATTCATTAAACAGAATACTACACTCAGCAATAAGAATAAACTACCTATTGCTATACACAACCACATGGATAAATCTCACAAATATAATATTGAGTGAAACAAATCAGTCACAAAATAAAATTCATTGAGTGCTTCCATTTACATAAAGTACAAAAATATGCAAAACTAGTCTATAAGTGTTAGAAGTCAGAATTGTGGTTACCTTTTGGGGATGGGAGGGAGCATAAGGGGTTTACAGGATGCTGGTCATGTTCTCTTTCTTGTTCTAGGTGATGTTTGCACAGGTATGCTCACTTTGTGAAAATTGATCAAATTGTACACTTAAGATTGCTGCACTTTTCTGTATATACAGACACAGACACACATATATTTATCTGACAATTCAATGTTTCCCTTAAAAAAAAAAACTACAAGTAGGTAGGAGAGAAAAGAATTCATAGAAAATATAAATTGTACTACTGAAATGGGCCTTTAAAAATTTTTTCCAAGCCTAAAGTTTCAATTAGAACCACCTGTTCTGTGCACGGTACTCACTACTTTCCTTCATTTCCCAGTTTTATGCATGCAGACAGACGTCTGCCTTCCATATGCAATACATGTCAAAAATCCACTGAGCACCTTCTATTAGCCAACTGATTTGCTGCACAGTGGGGACAGTGACCGATATTAATAAGACAGTTTGCTCAAGGATGGACAAGCAGTGACCATGTCTGATCTTCCTTTTGCCTAGGCATCTAGCATGATGTTTTGCCAAGTACGCCCTCCATAAACACTAACTAATCACATATACCTACAAACAACTAGAGCCCAAGAAGAGCTAAAGTACTTACAAATGAGAAGAAGAGTTCACAGAAGTGAAGAGATTACCTCCAGCTTCAGCACGTAGGGAGGAAAGAAGATAGGGTAAAGTGGGGAAGATACAGAGGATGACTTCATGGAAGAAATGGAGCATGAACTTGGTCTGGAAAAGCAGCTCCGACTTCCACATGCAGGAATAAGTGAAAGACGTCGAAGATACAAGAGACAGACAGCTCAGAGGCAGGAAAGTTTAAGGGCACATAAAATAGAGCCTGGCCAAAAAAGAATGGGTTATGTAAAGGAGTGAAGCACACTTTCTTCTTAAGTAGGTCAAAATAGAGCTCAAACATTAGTACTTTTCAAAAGCTCTACAGATGACTGATATTTTTTAAAGGTTGGGAAAAATATGGCACATGATTAAGTATACTTTTATTCTCTAGTTAACATTTACCTTTAATTAATATGGCAAGCATTTTAGGATAATTCAAATTAAAAGTTTTATACACCTTATCATAAATCTGATAAAAAATGCTATTTACATGAATTTCAATTCTTAACTTCAAAGTCTCTTTAATGATGCTAAAATTAAAAGTGTAAGTTAATGCTAACTCTGAGCAAGATGCTCACCATCTTCATTGTCAATTTTCTCATCTGTAATGAGAAGTTTAGAACAGACAGCCCTTAAAGAGCTGCTTTTGACTCTGATGTGGCATAATTCCACATACAACAATTTTAGAAACAATAATTTGTGATGATCATGAAAATTCTTTTACCCCCACTGCCTCTAGGAGGCATCAAAAATCCCTTACTAAAATTTTTCTGTGGTAATTTTCTTTACTGACTTTGTCTAATTCATTGGACATTTGACATCAAGAAAACATGCTGAATCAAAAGAACCCAGTATTTTGTTCTGTGCTGTGGGTAACTGATGAGATCATTTGTATTCCTTTTAGCCTAGCGGTAGCAAAGTCACTACCACATGTGGCCAAATGCATCACTCTGGGCTGCATGACAGTAGTAAAATAACATTTACTAATTTGTTTCGTCAGGAAACTTTGAAAAGCTTGGAGGTTTCAGTAGTGCATGATTTTGCAGATATAGCTCTGTTAACTCCAAATTTTTTTGGTAGGTGCTTTTATAAAAGTAATGCCAAGTATCTTCTTTGGGGCAAACTTTTGCAGAATTTGCGGAGTGTTGTATAACCACAATGAAGCTGAAGCATTCAGTATAAAAATGATTCATCACAGATGAATAAGCCTTTTGTTTCTTTTCTACCATTTCAGGACACTTTCTGATGTTTCAACTATCTGATGTCTGGCCATGTCATGATACCAAACAGATTGCCTAAATCACTCTGTTTACGTTGGCCTGCACATAAATCTGGATAAAGAATTCGGTCAAAACACCTCTTGCAGATCACAGAATGGCTCTATAACAGCACTCTAAGAGGTAACATGGAAGAGAAATACTAAATTATACCTAAAACATTTCTCTACACTTGAATTTTTCATTTTCAAATGTAACCAAATAGTTTTGAAATGTACGAGAAGGGGTCAAAAAGAATATAAACTAATCTTTACATGCAAATAATAAACATTTGGAAAGCATAGGAAAACCCATTTTTAAGAAAGCTTAAGGAAAAAACAAAGAAAAACAAAAAAAATAGCTATTTTCTAGCAAAAACAGAAAGAAGATAAGGAAAAGGTAAATAAAAAGAGGAAAAAACTCTAAACATAGGCCGGGCGTGGTGGCTCCCGCCTGTAATCCTAGCACTCTGGGGAGGCTGAGGCGGAGGACGCTCATGGTCAGGAGTATAAACCATGACCTGAGCAAAGACAGAAAAGAGAAAATAGGGAGACCCCACTCACTATTAAATAGAAAGAAGAATTAAGTTGGCCAATAATAGCATATAGAAAAAATTAGCCAGCATGGTAGCGCATGCCTTATCCCAGCTTACTCGGGAGGTGAGGCAGTAGGATTGCTTGAGGCCAAGGAGTTGAGTTGCTGTGAGCTAGGCTGATGCCATGGCACTCACTCAGCTGAGCACAAAGTGAGACTCCTGTCTCCAAAAAAAAAAAAAAAAAGAACCCAAATATAAAATTCTGAGGTGTGAAATTAACTAAACATAGGATTAATTTAAAAAGAAATAATGCTATTGATTTCTTTTAGTTCTACTCTGACCTTACTTATCTCTTTTTCTTGAGACTGGATTGTTGCTCTTCCTTTTCCAATTTCTTGAGATAATTCATTATATTGCAGATTTGTGATCTGTCTTTTGAATGTAGGCATTTAAGGCTATAAATTTTCCTCTTAGGGGTGCTTTTGTTGAATCAGATTTTGATAGCTTGTGTCCCCTTTGTCATTTAGTTTGAAGAATCTTTTGATTTCTATCTTACTTTCTTCCACTTACTTTGAGCCAATAATTGTTAAGCATAATGAACAGAGGCTTTTCAAAAGAAGATAGACTAGTGACCAATAAACATATGAAAAGTTGCTCATGGTCTCTAGTCATCAGGGGAAAGCAAGTCCAAAACAGCAAGAGATATTCTAAACTAACTCCAGTGAGAACAGCTTTTATCAAAAAGTCCGAAAACAACACATGCTGACATGGATGTGGAGAGAAAGGAACAGTTATACATGATTGTTGACTGCAAGCAATACCTGTCTAGTGGAAAATAGTATGGAGACACCTCAAAGAACTAAAAGTGGACCTATAATCTGATCCAGCAATCGCACTATTGGGTATATCAAGAGAAAAATAGTCATTTGATAAAGAAGCCGGCGCGTCAGAATGTATAGACAATTACAATCGACAGAGATTGGAATCAACCCAATGACCATATACATGAGTAGATTAATAAAAATGTGGTGTTGAATGAAGAGACTAGCCACCGAGAAAAATGTTACTTTGTAGAAGCAACTGGTTGATGGAACTGGAAACCATTCTTCTAAGTGAAGTATTGCAAGAATGGAAAAACAAACACCACATGTACTCACTCTTAAATTGGAACTAATCGATCCACACTCATGCACACATAGGGAAGTAAAACTCAACAGAAATCAAACAGGTGTGGGAGGAAGGAGGGGATGGTAAATTCACCTAATAGGTACAATGCACATATATCTAGGTTCTGGGCACACTTATAACTTTGACTCAAACTATACAGAATCAATTCATGTAACTAAAACATTTGTACCCCTTAATATTCTTAAATTTAAAAAAAAAGGAATAATGCACAGATTACAAAGATAACATTATAAAAACAGAAATATCTTTAAACCAACAGATCAGTTAAATATACATATATATAAATGAATATATACTTATATGAGGCACCTAGAGTTGTCAAATTCTTAGGGGCTGGGAAGAGGAAGGAATGGGGACTTACTGTCAATTGGGTACAGTGTTTTAGTTCTGCCAGACAAAGAATTCTAGAGATGAAAGGTGGTAATAGTTGCATAGCAATGTGAATGTACTTAATACCATTGAACAGGAGAGGAAGTTACTCCTTTCTGATGCTAGTCACTGCTGATGGCCTGTGATGCCTGAATGGGCAGCAACCACACTGGGAACTGTGAGGGGAGCAAAGCAAGAGGACCAGCACCACTGAGGACAGCAGCCGGAAAAGCGCACTGTCTCTTCTTGCTTCAGCAGGAGGCAGTCCTCTAAGAATAAACTATTCTCAGTTGAAAATATAATTTCCACTCATTTCAGACAGTTCCAGAGTCCCCAAACTGTTACTGAGTTACACTAAAACAGTATCAAGTCCCATTAAAATGGCCACAATTAGTATAATAGTTAACGTGAGCAATGAGAACACGACATAATCAAGACAATTCACTTTCACCAATGATTCTGTCAGCTCTCATTAAATTCTTCTGTGACCATCCTGTGCCTTACATCTAAGACTTGGGTCACAGACAACTGTGTGTTGTCTGTGACCAAACTTATCTATGTAATATAATGACTGTGTATAATGCAAATCAGTCTTTATTTAAAATGCACATGTACACACAAACACTGAACAGTAAAAATAAATGAATTCAATAAAAACATTTTAGGGAATATGATGCACAAGAATATATCTGCTATAAATTAGAAAACCATGAGTACTTAGAGAGGAGAATTTGTTGCAGTACATGCTGTCTATACAGCTATTTTGATGACCACCTAGTGGTTTTCATCTTGCACTGCTCACCATTAGCAAGACATGCAAAATCAAAATTTGCTGACACGTTAACATGCTTTGTAGGCTCAAGTCAGGGTATTAAATAAAATGCCCTATAAAGACAAATTCTCACAAGCCAAGCACAATTCTAGGTATGATTAAATATGGAAATTAAGTGACTTTGCCAAACTCTCACGCTGAGCCATCAGAAACTTCTCAGATCAGTTCAGCTCAATTTAGGACATGAGCCTGCACAGCACAGGAGAGAATGAAGGTACACCCTCCACCTAAACCACGTGTTCAGTCATCCACTGCTGAGTAACAAACCACCCCAAACCTTAGTGGCTTCAAACAATAATTTATTATTCCTCATGATTCTGTGAGTTGGCTAGAACTCAGCCAGGTGGCTTTTTTGCTGGTCTTTCTTGGGCTCAATTGTGCAGTCACATTGAGTTTGAGTGAGGCTGAAACATCCAAGATGGCTTCGGGCCTCACAGGTGGCCTCTGTCTCCAGCAGGCTAGTTGGACCTTTTATATGATGGCTGGCTCCAAAAACAGAGGAAGAAAAAGCTGCCGGTCCCCTTTAAGCCTGAGTCCAGAAGTCCCAGACAGTTACTGCCAGGGTGCCTATTAGTAAGTGTAAGTCACCAGGCCAACACAATCCAGGAAAAGAGTAAAATGAGCTCTTTTGTGTATCTCAGACTTGCTGTTCAATACTTTAGTTTGTCTTACATTATACGGTAAATGTATTATATGGTGAAAATTGTAACTTACATGTTCAAATCTACATAAGAAAATTGAAATGAAACATTAGTCTTGTTTCAAGTAAAGTGTCACTTGGTACCATGTGACACACTGTACTCTGATTATCTATTAATATATGCCTCCCTAAGTCATAATCTCCATCAGAGCAGAGCCCATATCCACACTGCTTTCAACTGTATTCCCAGTGTCAAGCATGTATCAGGTACCTAACAGATTGCTCCTTCTTAATTACTAAAAATGTTCCACCTGTTTAAAAAATAAATTCTTCAATACAAGGTAGAAAACATTTTTTAGTGTTTTCCATGTATATTTTATAATGTGACAAAAATATGCCATTACTAATGCTTTATACTTAGTTATATGCTAAGAAAAAAAATATGACTTTAACCATTTTTGTAGTCATACGCAGTCAAATTTGTAGTCAAATTGATGACCCTCATTTAATCTCAAAAATGAGAGATTTTATAATAGTGAACAATTCACTTCTTGTGAGTTATTACTTTTTGCTGGTCTCTAATTCTAGACCTTCAACTTGCAATGGGACATATTCATTCTTGCATTAACACCTATCTTACAATTTTAAATAGTATACTTTCTGATTGAAAAGAGCCATTTTAATAATATGTGTTATTCCTTCGTAACTGAGGGCTCTCAGTTACTCAAAACATAACATAATATCTGCTACGGTGGTTTGAATGTGGTTTGCCCCTGCAAAGACTCATGTTGAAATCTGATTCCAATGTGGCTATGTTGGAAGATGAGGGCCTAGTGTGTGGACCATGGGGGAACCGCCCTCATGAGTCGATTAATGCTGGCTTCCAAGAGTGAGTGACTTCTCCCTCTCACAGTGAGGGATTAGTTCCCAGAGAGCAGGTTGTTTTAAGTGAGGCTGGTCACTCCTGTGCCTCTCTGCACTCACTCGCTCCCCTTTCTGCTTTTCTGCCATCTTGTGACCTAGCGCGAGGACCTCACCAGAAGCTGAGCAGATGCTGGTGCCATGCTCTTGGACCTTCCAGCCACCAGAATCATAAGCTAAATAAACCACTTGTCTTCATAAATTATCCAGCCTAAGGGGTTCTGTTATAGCAACATGAAAAGAACTAAGACAATATCCTTAAATGAAATGACAGTATCTTTATTCCTTTAGTTACCTAAAATTACTTATTTTCAATCATAATGCAATGGAAACTATTTTGCTTAAACTAATGATATAAAAATTAAAATCGACATGTTCTCAAAGACCCAAAAGTGTTCACAACAATGATGCCATAAAACTGCTAGGTTTATAAAATGAATATAATATGCAAAAATTAATTACCTCACAAATATCTACAAAATCACTTACTATAGATTTCAGAACTCTCTCTCTCTCAAGAAGATATAATGTGAATACAACATAATAGAAAAAATGTAAATTGTTGTTTAAATGATTAAATTGAGTCTCAGAGTTTCTTTCCACTTTGGGCTATAACCTAGTTTTATAGGTTTTGCCAGTGTTTCCAAATTCCAAACAGATATTAGTTTTAGGGATTTAGGGATGAAAAATAAGAATTCCTGAAATCATCAGTTATTCTTAATACTTCCAATATTCTTCATACTCTTTACTCATAATAGATATCTTAAAAATTATTTAACAAGGAAGAAATATTAAGTTTAGTAGTATTTATAAAGAATTTTAGCCTGTAGCAAATATTAAAACATTGGAAAACTCTAATGAACATTATTAGATTCCATTTCAAATAACCTAGCATTTGGATCTCTTAGCAAATTAGCAGCACTATACAGAATCACGAGTTGAAATTGCCAATTTATGAACTTATTTTGCTCCCAAAGCCTGTTATTTCGTGGAACACTACTCATATACTTTACAGATAAGCTTATTAATATTTATTATATTTGCATTGTTACTGACATTGTTAACGGCAGACAGGGACAAACACACACACCACACCACACTCCGTAACAAGCAACAGCTACAAGCAGGCTGACTGATTAGACCGTGACTGCTCCCCACTCCGTGCTCCTCCCCTGCTCCCCCGCAAGTGTCAACCTTCACTGTCAGCTCCACAGTCAGGGTCTCCTGCCCTTTCTTTTGACTTGACATCAGTGGATTTCTTCAAACTAGTAACATTTCTGTGTTGGATGTTCAGTTTAATACTTGTGGGAAAATTATAATACTTTCCCCAATTTCCTGATTTTTCAGCTGATCTTCCCCAAGATTCATGATTTGAAAAAACATAAATTATCCAAAAAAGACAAGAAGAAATTCTCACCTAGAACATTAGTTTTCACGTTAGCTTTACTCTATTAAAAGACCAATCTGCTTTTGAAGTGATTAGAGAGATTTAAGAGACACATCAACCAGATATAATGTATGAACTGAATTGTGTTTGGGTCCAAAGTCAAACAAACTAACTGTAGAAAAGATTATGAGACAATTAAGGAAACAGAAACACCAACTAGATATCAGATGCTACTTGGACAATTTTAAATATTTTCAGGTATGATGATGAGATTATGGTTATATTTCCAAAGTGTCCTTATCTTTTAGAAATATATATTCAGATATTTATAGATGAAGTGATATCCTTGATTTGCTCCAAAATAACTCAAAACGGGGTAGTGGTGGGAATGGGGTGAAGGAATAGATGAAGTAAAATGTATGAAAATTGCTAAAGCTAGGGCAATGGGTACACAGGATTCAAGTACACTTTTTTTCTTTAATTTGGCATGTTCTTAAAATTCCCATTATAAATATATTTTTTTACCTATACTGCTCTGCTCTAAAGCCATTGCTGACTCCCAGTTGCCTAAATACCCTAGCCTAGCTATCAACGTCCTTCACAGTCCTTTGGTTATCCTTTTTTCTATTAATATATCACAGGAACTGTCCTCCCTGAATCCTTAACTTTTACTGCTTCTCCTCCCTGAAATGTGCTTCTCCACCACACCTACTCTTACCTTGAAGTACTCCTATCTGTCAGTTAAACTCTTTCCTCTTCCTCACCTGGTGTAGTAAAACCCCATGTTCTCTTAAGCCACTTACCAGACCACTATTTCATCTGGTTTTATGTAAAATGAACCAAATCTTCATCTAGAGCACAAGTTTTAAGTAGAAGATCCAGGTCTGCATCTTCATAGCTTAAAGCATCAGGCTAAGTGAGGCACAGGTGTTTGGCTATTGTTGTCACAGTGGGTAGGAGCCAGGGAGTCTGCTCCTTTGCACTGTTCTTTACTCTCCAGAGTTTTTACAGTGGGCTACAAATACGTAGAAAACATCAAAGAGTTTCATTAAGGCAAGTCATAAAACCTTTTTTTTTAAAGGGAAATTCTGAAATATACGTAAACCTCACAATGATACAATAGATTACAAAGTAAGAGCAGTACAGGCTGTGGTTCTCATTACAGAAAGCTTAATTTCTAACCTAGTAAAGAGATTTCCTCATTAATACGTTCATCCCTCGTTCAAAGCTCCAAAGCCTCTGCCCTGAGACAAAAATTTTATTGGAGATACATTCTATAATGAAAATAGACATGTGTAAAAATCAATTGTACCTTATATTTCATCTTGGGACACGAATGAATGTAGAAACCCATGTAATAATAGCTGAGTTGAGACGCTTTCTCGTGAAGTTGCCTAGTAAAAGCAATTTCTCTGCCAAAATAAGAAGAAAGATGAAGGTAGAGTTAACAGAGTTTCCAATTTTTAAAAAACTTTGCAATTTGATGACAAATATTCAATACAGTAAGATATCAAGCTATCAAAAAATCCAAATATTAAAAGTTATTTTTAAAATACTATAAGATGATTTTTACTAAGAGACAGCAAAAAAAAAAAAAAAAAAAAACACAAACCCTCAATTATTTTGAGAAATGCATCTGAGTTCAGACTTTACTCTTTATCGGGCAAAGTGGCTGATCTAAAATTCAAATACATGGCTGGGCATGATGGCTCACATCTGTAATCTTAGCACTTTGGGAGGCCAAGGAGGAAGAATCGCTTGAGGCCAGGAGGAGCTCGAGACCATTCTGAGCAAAAAAGAGCAAGACCAATAGAGCAAGAGCAATAGAAAAATTAGCCGGGCATGGTGACACGTGCCTATAGTTCCAGCTACTCAAGAGGCTCAAACAAGATGATTGCTTGAGTCCAAGAGTTTGAGGTTATAGTAAACTATGCTCGCGCCACTGCACTGTAGACCTGGCAACAGAGCAAGACCCTGCCGCAAACAAACAAATAAGTAAATATATTTCGAATACATAAAATTAAAGAGATCTACAGTGTCTTGTTATTATTCACTATGCTCTCCACTGCTCAAAGAATCTGGTTAAAAACAGTATAGTAAATTTTAGAAAACTCACAAGCCAATACAATTCAGGAAGAATAACTATTGTTATGACCATTTACACACAAAACACTTTCAGCTATATATGAGATACATAACTTGTTCCTGTATCTATCTAGGTGCAAAGTTAATATTTATTTCCTCTAAGACTACAGAGGGGAAAATACCATGTTACCTCACCACGTTTTGATAACTTGACCAAAGAAGTTGTCAGTATCTTCACTGCAACACCTACGTGTGAGATGGTTTTAATTTGTATGCAGATAAATCTTGACACAGAATTTCATCCCACTTGCCAGCTGAATGAATGACTGGTTGTGTCTGAGAGTTTTAAGTAAAACCAGTACGTTTCTAAAGTATGAGGAAAGTTGTTTTGTTTTTATATTTGTTTCTTGAAGGCTTTCTTTTCTACTAGCAAGGGATGCTTGAAATTCAGGAGAAATGTATTTTTTAGTAGAATAGTCTATGTATTTTTCTAGTTCAAATTTAAATCCTTGAAGAACTGCTACCTTGAAAATTCATCATTAAATTATAAGTATTTCTAAGTCCAAGCAGACTAAACACCATTAGCCTATAACAGAATAAATCCTACTATTCCTGGAACTAATCCACTCTCAAGGTTCAAATAGGGAAAAGTATGCACAGTACAAGCCAATGTAAGACCACCCAACTCCAACAAGGCCAGCCCAGCAACAGAGGCTCTCAATGGCTCTCCTTCACTTGGTTCTATCCATCTCAGTTCATTTCATCACTGCTCCCCACAGCAATTCAGACCCCAAACCTATGGATCACTCTTAATTGTTCTTTTCTCACCCCATGTCTAACCCATCAGCAGGTCCTTTGCGCTCTATATACAAAATATGTCCTAAATCCAACCATTTCTCACTACCTCCTCCTCAGATATTCTGGCCCAAGTCACCATTATAGCTCTCCTGGATAACTGCAGTAGCCTCCCAACTGGCTTTTCTATTTCCACTCTCGCCCCTCCATAATTCCCATGTAACATGCGGAGTAGTCTTTTACAATATTAATCAGACCAGGTAACCTCCCCAGTCCCCCCACTAGCACTGGGCTGGTATCACACGCAGACAAAGTCCAACCTCCCTACCATGACCCACAAGCCCTGCTCCATCTGCCCCCTCCTCCCCTCCTCCAGCCTCCTGGTGGAACACTCTCTGTCCTCCCTATATTCTAGCTTATAAGGCCTTTCTGTTTTTTCCAACCACCTCAAGCCACTTAGACTTGTTACTCTTTACCTGGACTTCTGCCCACAGATTTGATCATGACTAGTTCCTTTTCTTCCTCCTTTGCTTCTCAAATGTCATCTGTTCACAGAGGTCTTTCCTGGCCACTCCATGCAAAACGAGCCTTATACCTACCACCACTGCTGATCTTATTTTTGTCACAGCACTATGGAGCATCTAGAATTAAGCTGTCTGTTTTCTGATTTGCTGTCTGCTTTAACAACCTGGAATCCCTGTCTGCTTTATTCACTTCTATGAACAGAACTATATTCCTAAAATTTATCTTCCTAAAAATATGTAAATAAATGCCATGCTCATGATCCCCAATTCAAACATTTTTTAAATCTGCAGACTAGATTATATAAACATCTAAAAATATAAAACTGCATTGACTGTAGGACTGCTTAAGAAACTGAGGGAAAATTACCTAAACAGCTTTCATCAAAATAAAGTGAAATCAATAATAAAATTGGCAATTCACTTTATGATGTCAATCTCCCAGCTGCCTTTCCTCATCTACGAGCTCAGCAGCTCATACTCTCAAGACACCGAAAGGAAGTGGCAAGACCGCAGTACAGTGGCAACCGCCCCACTCCCAACTGGCAAAAACCTTACAGGCTCCTCTCCCACTTCCTCACAGACCTCCGGCCCTAGAATGTGCAAGAGATGCACCAAGTGATCAATAGAACTCTTTCCAATTTTGCTGGGAATTAATTATTTACTATCGCAATATCTAAACCACCTCTCAGTTTATTGAGCCATGAAATATTTCATATACAGGCTGGGGCTTATTATATAGGAATATATCTCACTCTTCATATTCATCTGAGAAGTCTACAAAAATCTATAAACACATACCATAAAGTGATAGATATAAAAGTAAAACAAGAAAGAAAACAGCAATAATTTGAAAATATTGATTGATTCTGGGATAAAGAAAATATATATTTTCTAAAATAAATATAAACTTCCATATTTATATGAGTAAATATGAAATTCTGAAGTCATAAAATGTGAATGCTTTATCAGTTCCAACTTCAGTGAGATCACCAAGAGCCATGAATATTTTTGAATTACTTTATACAAAAATGCAATTAAATATATAAGAAAAGTAAAAGATTCTTACAGAGATCACTTATAAATAATATATAACTGTGAATCTGTTATAAATTGGTATTAAGAGAAAAGTCAGGTTGAAAATACCAAAATGAAGAATTTCTTTATATTGTGGGCTATTGAAATACACAAAAAACATCAATTATGGACCAGATTTTTTTAAAAAGCAAATTACTGATTTAAAGAAAAATATCAACTCTTCTACTTTTCTAATTCAGAAAAAAAGCACATGCACAAAAAATAAAATAATATGGCAGTATATTTTACCATGACATGAAAATGTGACCATGAGACATAAACAGTGGGAAATGAAAAAAGCATGACAAAATAAATAATATAACATTTAAGGAACATAAGTAATTCTGACAGAGGAGCTTAAATAAATGTATAAATTAAACAATAAAAAGCATCCCACAAATACAATGCCTTTTTATACACTAGACTAGATGGATACCTTAAAGTGCTAGAGAATTACCATTAGACACTGTCAGCAGTTCTAAAGGTGATGCCTTCTAAATACCAATATATAACTACTACATATTATATATACTAGTTATGTATAATACTTATTTATATATTATATAGTATTATATACCTCTATATAATTATATATAATAGTATATGTTATATAGTAGCATGTACTATATATATTATAGAATACAGCATACGTAGTTATATATTACTTATAATATATGCTATATAATATAGTACTAGAGCAACAAATTATAATATACCATCATATAGGATTTCTTCTATTACATAATGAAATATAATCAAAGGAGTAACTATTTGAAGTTCTATGTAGCCTATTACAACAACCACAAAAAAAGCAATCTTACCGTAGTGCAGAGTAGACACCCAAAGACAGAAATGAATAATCAGGATCATAGTACAGATAGACAGATGACACACAGTATGGAAGGATGTCAATCACCCCCACAGCAATGATCTTTCCATCAAGCCAGTACTGCTGGTGAAAGGAACCATAACCACAATCTGGTCCGTTATGGCGATTCTCTGCCTATGAAAAAGTAGACACACAAACATGAACTATTTGACATTTTCTTCATTATACTAAAAAATCTTATTAGTGTATTATGCTTTTACTTCACTCAGGTTAAGGTGCCCTAAGATTTCCTGTTTGTTGTCATTATCTTCCCTCGTCACATCCTAGGTTAAGTTGTAACCTTTTCCTTGTAGAAACACTGACCAGATATAAGAATGAAAAGGAGAAATCAACTTAAGTTTTCTTCAACTTACTTGTTTTAACATCTGACAGTAGGAAATATAACATTTTATAAGATAAATAAATCACTATTAAACTATATTCCTCTGTTTTATACAAAGGTTAGGAAAGAAATGACGTGTGAGGAAAAGACAAAGAAGATAAAAAGAAAGGGTTGGGTGTGAAAAGGAGAAATGTCCCCAGACTGCCAGCCAGGCCTGTTCTATGACTGCCCCAGTACTGATAAGGCATATGATTCCATTATTTTTTCTAGGGAACAATTCCTGTGTTAAGTACAAATAGCTCTGATACCTCTCCTTAGTAACTAAAGAAAAATAAAGTTATTTCCTCATTACTATCTTAATGTAACTATAATCACACAGAAGAAATCTAGAGATTTCAGAGTATAACTACTTCTTGTATATACAGATAGTTAAATGGCATTTTTCATTTTAAAATTCCACATGATTTTAAATATAACTGCTTTTAAATAAAAACCATAAAAAGTAAATTATAAATAAAGCAGCATAAAAAGGCTTTACTAGAGATTGAATGGATGTTAGAGATGAACAAGTTAGTGATACAACTCGTACATCATTTTATACAGCTAAAATCAGAGAATGTATATGAATAAAGGCCAGAAGAGAATGAAGAAAAATAAGAAGAACAGGTTTGCTAATACCAAAACCAGGAAAAAAAAATCTCTAAACCATTATCTCTCATGAATACAGACACAAAAATCCTCAACAAATATTAGCAAATTGAATCCAATAATGTATAAAAGAAACTATATACCATGACCAGAAGAAATTTATTCCAGGTATGTAAGGCTGGTTTAACATTAGAAAAGCAATTTTAAAAAGAAAAAAAAGAAAAGTAATTAGTGAGCAACTAATGTAATCTACCACATCAACAGGCTAAAGACAAAAAAATCATGTGATCATATCAATTGATGCAAGAAATATATTTAGCAAAATCTAACAGTTACATGTCTAAAAACTGTTAACAAACCAGAAGTAGAGGAAAATTTTCACAACTGGATAAAGAACATATAACAAAAACCTACAGCTAACATCATTACTTAATTGTAAGAAGCTGGATGCTTTACCCCTAAGATCAAGAACAAGCAAGAATATCCTCTCTCATTGCTCAATTTAACATCATACTGGAAGTCCTAGCTAGTGCAATAAGACAAGAAAAAGAAATAAAAGGTATACAGAGTGGGGAGGGGAAAAAACATGTTTGTTCATAGATGACATGATTGTCTATGTAAAAACAATTAACAAAACTGGAACTAATAAGCAATTATAGCAAGATCCCAAAATACAAGGTTAACATTTAAATACCTAGATAAAAATCTAACAAAATATATACAGAAACTATATGCAAAAAACTACAAAACTCTGATGGAATCAAAGAAGATCTAAATAAATAGAAAAATATTGTATGTTCATGGATTGGAAGAATTGATATTGTTATGACATCAGTTCTTCCAAAGTTTATCTATAGATTTAATGCAATCCCAATTGAAATCACAACAAGCTATTTTGTGGCTATCACCGCACTGATTCTAAAATTTATATAGAGAGACAAAAGACTCAGAATAGCCTATCCGATACTGAAGAACAAAGTTGGAGGACTGACACTTTCCAATGTCAAGACTTGCTATAAAGCATAACAATCAAGATAATGTGATATTGGTGGAAGGATAGATAGATAAATGGAACAGAATGGACCTACACAAAAATAGTCAAATGATCTTTGACAAAGGTGCAAAGGCAATTCAATAGAGAAAGAATAGTCTTGATGACAAATGGTTGTGCAATAATTAGACATCTATATGCAAAAATTGAATCTAGACACAGACCATATACCTTTCACAAAAATTAACTCAAAATAGATCACAGACCTAAATGTAAAATGCAAAACTATAAAACTTCTAGACGATATTATAGAAGAAAATCTAGGTGACCCTAGGTTTGGCAATGAGTTTTTAGATATACACCAAAGATACAATCCATGAAAGAAAAAATTTGGTGAGCTGTACTTTATTAAAATTAAAAACCTCTGCTCTATGAAAAACATTGTAAAGAAAGTAAAAACTCAAGCCACAGACTGAGAGAACATCTTACAAAAGACATCTCTGATAAAGGACTGGTATACAAAATACACTAAGACTTAAAATTCAACAATAAACAACCCACCCAATTTAAAAATGGGCAGAAGATATGAACAAAAACCTCACCAAAGATGATGTATGCATGGCAAATAAAATTATGAAAAGATGCTCAACATTACTTTTCATTAGGGAATTGCAAATTAAAACAATGAGATAGTATTACACAACTATTAAAATGACTGAAATCTCAAAACTGAATATCAGATGTTGGTGAGCACGCAGAGCAAGAACTCTCATTCATTGATGGTGGGAATGTAAAATGTACTGGTACAGACACTTTGGGAGTTTCTTACAAAACTAACTTTCTTACCATACAAAACAGCAATCACACAACTAGTTATTTATCCAATTGATGTGAGAATTTACATCATACAAAAACTCAAAATTTCGCAAGTGAAGTTTACAACACTTTTATTCATAACTGCCTCAAACTGGAAGCAACCAACATATTTTTCAATAGGTGAAAAGATAAATAAACTGTAGTAGGTCCATATAAGGGAACATATTCAGCAATAAACAGGAATATACTATCAAGCCACCCATGCAAACAAAACAGAGAAACTTTAAATATATATTACTGAGTGAAAGACGCCAGTCTAAAAAGGCTCCATCCTGCACAATTCCAATTACAGGTATATCTCATTTTATTGCACTTTGCAGATGACATATTTTTTTTTACAAACATAGGTTTGCAGCAGTATCTGGCTGCATCTGACAAGTATACTGGTGCCATTTTACCAATGGTATGTGCTCACTTCATTAGCATTGCTAGCAATAAAGTATTTTTTAATTAAAGTATTTTTTTAGACAATGCTATTGCACACTGAATAGACTACAGTATAGTATAAACAATATCACCGGGAAACCAAAAAATTCATGTGACTCATTTTATTGTGATATTTACTTTATTGTGATGGTCTGGAACTGAACCTGCAATATCTGAGGTATGCCTGTACATTCTGTAAAAGGCAAAACTATAGAGACAGTAAAAAGATTAGTGCTACCAGGAGTTTGGTGGGGATCAGGGGAAAGATGAACAGATGAAGCACAAAGGACATTTAGGTGGTGAAACTATTCTGCATGATATTATAGCAGTAGGTAAATCACATTACACATTTATCAAAACCCACAGAACATTACAACACAAAGAATGAATCTTAATGTATACAAAATTTTTAAAAAATCATTTAGGAGTTTGGAAGATCCCAGGAAGAAGCACAGGCTGTGACAAGAGAATTTAACTATATTACAATGCACGAAACAATCTTATTGAAAGAGTTGAGGGGAAGGGAAAAGGTACTGACCTAGTGACTTAGGAAATGAAAAGGGATCTGTAAGAATGAAGGCAAAATGCACATAAGCACTGTATTCTACTTGATGAAGTTGTTTCCCATGAGGTTAACAATTCTGATACTGCTATACATGTATACCAGAATCGAACAATTCTGGTAAGTAAATGAATGGCAAATAACAGGAGTCAGGTTTCTCACTGCTAGAGTGGGAATTCATAGATCAGTAAGGGAAGAAGGCTAGAATGATTCATGTGGTAATGGATTAGAGTTGGAGATGTTAGTAAGAACTCATGTTTAGCGTAATACAGATAAAGATGATTACACATAGGAATATTTATAGATATGTACATATTAGAGATATGTGCATATGTACATGGGTTAGCATACACACACATATGTCTTTGTTTTGTCAGCTGAGAGGGTCTAAAAGAAACAACACCCCAGGCTGGGCATGGTGGCTCATGCCTGTAATCCTAGCACTCTGGGAGGCCGAGGCGGACGGATTGCTCGAGGTCAGGAGTTGGAAACCATCCTGACCAAGAGCAAGACCCTGTCTCTACTATAAATAGAAAGAAATTAATTGGCCAACTAATATACATATATATATATATAATTAGCCAGACATGGTGGCGCATGCCTGTAGTCCCAGGTACTTGGGAGGCTGAGGCAGGAGGATTGCTTGAGCCCAGGAGTTTGAGGTTGCTGTGAGCTAGGCTGATACCACAGCATTCACTCTAGCCTGGACAACAAAGTGACACTCTGTCAGAAGGAAAAGGAAGGAAGGAGGGGAAGGGAAGGAAGGAAAGAGAAGAAAAAGAAGAAGAAAGAAAGAAAAGAAAAGAAAAGAAAGAAAAGAAAGAAAGAAAGAAAAGAAGAAAGAAAAGAAAAGAAAGAAAGAAAAGAAAAGAAACAAACTCCCCAGTAACAATGAGCATACCTAGTGCCCATATCTTGGTGTCTAATACCATCCTGCAATGAAAGAAACTAGGGTTCCCAGGAGAAATGGCTGATTCCAGGACTGGGGCAGGAAATACACAAGATAAGCTTGGAGCATCTTGAAGTGCTCAGAAAGTAAAAGTAGTACTCAAAAACAAACAAACAAAAAAACACCCACATTGATGGGGGTATATCAAAGTGACACAGAAGTCAACTGAAACAGTTTCCAATGTCCAAAGCTGGAACAATTTGAGCAGCAAAATAAAACAGTATTGGATTTATAACCCCAAGTATAAAATAAATATCCATTAGTCCATACTGATATATTAATATATGACTGAACAAATTAATAAATGGAGGGGGAGGATAGAGACAAATCTCCTATGCAG